TGGAATAAAAATTCTACGAATGTGTGGTAGAACGTGCGTGCCATGCGTGTTGGACGTGCCATGCGTGTTGGACGTACATAGAGAGGGAACTTATCGTTCGGGTGTGCGTCAGGTAGCAAAGAAACGGCCAGAGACATTGTCAGTAGCTTTGGACCGGAAGCTACGGGCGAGTGTGATGGATTATTGCTGAAGGTGCGAATGTTGGCTACCAGAATAACGCTGGGTAGTAGGCTGTAGTCAATGTTGTAGTCGCCTTCGGTAGTATCTTGTTGAGCTTGCCGGTAGACTTGTCTTTTAAGTGAATCCCGGTCTAGAGAACCATCATGGCGAGTTAGCTGAGGGTCCTTGACGAAGCAGCCGTGGTATTCGAGACCTTGGAGCTTCGGATCGTAGGTCATATCGTCGACGACGCCGGGCCCGTAGAGTTCAACCGGTGCCGTCTTCAAGCTGGTTAGCAAAGAGCAGACATGAGGCGCCGCATGTACCTTCAGCCAATGCTGGCTCCCTCCGTCGCCGCCCGGGGCGGCGTTGCACATGTTGGACTGCCACAGCACGTAAGGCATGAAGGAACTTTCGACGAAGTTCACTAAAGCTGGGAGAGATAATCGCCGGTTCTGCGGATGCAGTTCCCGATATATAGCGAGGAATTGCCGGGCACGTCCATAACGACGCAGCGACTGTAGGCTGTAATTGAGACGCCACTTGGCCCTACTTAGGACGTGGAAAATGTCACGAGGCGAGTCAATCAACGACCCTTCCGCCGACCCTTCCGCCGACCTCAGCCAACCGGTTATTGGCATGGTACCAGCCCTCGTTCCAAAATTAGGCCCGGTTGCAGCTTTGTTAATGTTGATTTTAGTCTCATCGACCACAATCCGGTAGTCGAAAGTCTGCTGTGGCATTTTTGTGAACCAGGCCACGTAAGAATCCGTGGACAACATGTATCCGAGTTTAGTGGTTGAATCGGAAAGCCCAGTCATAGTTGTTCTTGCCAGCTGCAGACCTGGGTTAACTATGAACTTATCCAGCCACAAGAACGGTTGTAGAGTCAGGCGATCCAGGGCCAAGCTTTTCTGTAAGAGATAATTCGTGCTCCAGTGATTGCGCAAAAACTCCTCTGCCTTGGCCAACTCCGGATTCTCGTTCACGTGGTTTCTCCAGTCAATACTGTATCTACTCCTCCATATCCCGCGGCCTACTGTACCATAACCTCTATGAGCTACAACACAGAAAGTCTACTACTGGCACTTGTACTTACCACTGGTCCATGTATGCATAAAAAAACGTTTTTATTCCCCGGAAGCCAACATGTATGACTCTATCGATCGCGAACATACTTGTAAGCACTACACACCAATGACTAACCTAATCTCCTGCACGCACACACAATGA